AGACGAGGTTTATCTGAACATTGTGATGTGACTTCACAATGTGCTGAGGCAATAGCTATTTGTGAAAATAGGTTCCACATCCGCCCCCGCCTTTACTACTGTGTGTGAGAAAGGAATTCATCAATGTATCCTTCATCTACCTTGGTAATCCTTATCTCATCATATTACCAAAATGTAGTGTAGTATTAAGCATTATCCAACTTAATAATCTTAGCAAGCATACGAAAACCTCCTCTGGCTTTCGCCAACTTACATCATCTCTCGCCTAGATGTGATATCCAGCTATTGAACAATGGAAGTGTGTACTGACCAGCATTTGGCTCTGTCCACCTTTGTGGTTGTAACACATGGCCTTTAAAAGTGGAAGATATGAAGAGTCTGACTACTGGGAGTCATCTTAGGTCATAGGTGTCTGAGTTCTATCTCAAGTCTTAAGTGGTATAATGTGGTGAGCAATACTCGGGTTAGGTGCAGAGAGTGTTGATTAGGTGAAGAGGCGAAGTCAGTCGATGACCATGTGAAGCTTCATAGACCGAATTGGCTATATGTTTTACGCTTACCGATTCACCGGGTGCCTCCTCAACGAACAATGTCAGCTGACGTAGGATTAAGTCAAGAAAGACTTTCAGACAGTCAGAGGAATATTCGGAATCAATATATGAAATCTGTGACTGGTGTTTTCAGCCAAGTGGGGTGGGTGAATAATACCTTGTTGAAGTCTTCGGATTTATGAAAAACAATATCAGTGTGTTGTCCTTTTGATTATGCGTCAGACAGTGGGAAACGAGAAGACAGGGATATCCTGGACCGACGTGAAGAACCTAGAAGACCTGGATTTCGCATGTGGATGATTTATGTTTGATGTCACACACAATCGAAGACTTACAAGCGGAAACCGACAAACTGGTCGAAGAAGCAGCCGGCGAAGACAGGACTCCAGGTGAACATAGACAAGACGGAGGTTATGAAAATAACTAACCAACCAACAAAAACAACAGCACCAACATCCAGCGCCAATCACCATCAACGGGAGGGATTTGAAAGAGGTAACTTCCTCAATTCACTTATCCAGGGAGGAGCATTGTCTCAACTACAGGATGTCGGAACGGACGAGGATGTCAAATCGAGCGAGAATCGGGAAGGGGGCCGAGAAACACACACATTCATCAACCAAATGAGACCAATCTAATCTGGAAATCTTCGTCACTCAGCCACATCAACAACAAAATTCAGTCTGATTTTCAATACAAACAACGTCAAGTCAGTCAGTTCTTCTATACAGATGAGAAACTTGGTGGGTGGGTCACAAAGAATATTTCCAACAGGCTATTGCAGACCAGACTTTTATCAACAACAACTGTCTTCGGTGGCTCTATGCTGAAGATCAGATGGCCGGGCAGGAAAGAATCACCAACAAGAAACTATGGGCACAAACAAACAAAACAAGAAGCAATCGCCATTCAACAAATATGCAGGAGAAAGTGGATTGAGATGGATTGGACACTCGCTAAGGAGGCCACTGGGTGATATCGAGCGCGCGTCAGGCCATTTCTCGAGTGGAACCCGACAGAATGGGAAGCGGCGAGTGGGAAGTCAGTGCAAGGGTGACATGGATGAGATCATGTGAAGAGGAGTTGAAACATTATGAACTAACATGGACTCAGGTGAAAAGTACAGCAGAAGACAGAAGTGGCGAGTGCAAACGTGCAATTGAAACCCTATGTTCCCCTAGGAACTCAAAGGAACAATAATAATAAATGTAGATGGATCAGAAATACGCTTAGAAGACCACTGAGTGACATTACACGACAGGTAAGCCCTCGAATGGATCTCCATGGGAACGAAGACTTGAGCATGCATCCGAGAGTGACATACAAGACATAGTATAAGCAGAAGTTGAAAACTTATAGGTGATAGTTGAGCCACAATAAAGGAAACTGCACAGGAAATAGGATAAAATGGAGATGCGATGAAGGAAATCAAATACTCCACTCGGAACCCAAGGGAATTATTATTAGTATATCATCATTATTGTCTCCCTCAGTTCCTAGAGGAGTATACGGGGCTTCAACCACACATCTCCATTGCGTTCGGTTCTTTGCCAATGTTTTCACCTGATTCCACGTCCACCCAAATACTTTCATATCTTCTTCACATAACCTTCTCCATGTCATTCCACCCTCGAACTGACGGCCAACTCGCCAATTCCCTTTCGGGTTCTACTCCAGCAATGGTCTGGCGTATGATGTCACTTGATGGTTTGTTTTTTCGGAGTATGGCCAATACACCTCCATTTCTTACTGCTTATTTGTTGCACACTTGGTTCCTGTTGGGTTGATTGGCTCGTTTCCAGAGATCCCTGTTGCTGATCCGTTCTTGCCATCTAATCTTGCGTCTTCGCTCAATACAGTAGTATAGTATAAATAACAGGATTCTAACGAGAAATATTGTTTGGTATTCAAGAAATATACACATTGGGTCATAGGAATTATTAAGAAGACAGTTGCAGCGGAGAAAATTTTCTTTTCGACGAAGTCATCATCTAGGCTCAAGAAAGAACTGACGATAAATGTTTGGGTATAATTTCTGTCAAGTGTCTAACACCATTCTTTTTGTTGTTTTTTCTTATATTTGAAAATGACGAGTTGAACAATGAAAATTCATCTAGGTGACATCAACAGAACACACAGTACTATAATTCACAATAATTGTGTTGGTAGCTGGCTTTTAGCCAAAATTGGTGGACAGTAATTTACGTCAATGTTTATGTCCCCAGTATTAGTCGTGAGAAAAATGAGAGCAAAGGCTTTGCATTGGCGGATAAAGTTAGCATATAGATGATCTGACATTCAAGAAACAGCCACAAAGAGATGAAAGATTAACTTTCAGTGAGAAACAACCAATCAGAAGACTGTGTTTATCTGCTAACAATAATCTATAATGTGTACACGAAAATCTATAAATATGTGTTGATTTCCTAAATAAAGGATCTGTTGGTTGGCCCTTGTCTTCTGTTGTTACATAATTAACACAATATGACCACTACAAAAAGAAAAAAAAACTGAGACATTATCAACCTGGTGCTTCGCGATTATTATGAAATTTCACACTTCATCTCTAATTGATGAGAGATACACTTGAAGAAGAAGACATCATCATATAATCAATCCACACGTGAAGTAACTGTGATGTAACTGTCTTGGAGAAAACTCAGAAGGCATGCAGGAACAACTGTTCAGCAATCGATTAAGTTTTTTCAACTACAATATAAGAGAAGAGGCTAACTTGGTCGAATCTGATTGAATTTGAAATTTTCCCGTCGATTGGTTGGACCAAAGTGCTCGGTCTCAGGTTAACATGTCGGCTTCTTGTGCGGATGCTTCGACGATGTCTGGGCATTTAGTTAGTATTTAATTGGTGGATGGTGACTAGCAGTGGAATCCAGGATGCGCATTTCGTCCTATCTGGGACTCGTCGACTGGACGTACCTGCATTTCTCAGTGAGTGATGATGTTCCCACCGAGGCTGGAACCCAGTATCATCAATCACTGAGAAATGCAGGTACATCCAGCCGACGAGTCCCAGATAGCATCCTGGATTCCAATGCTAGTCACCATCCACCAATTAAATAACTTGGTTGAAGTTTATATTTCCGTGGTAAAAAGTAACAGTCAGTGCCTATTCCTATTTGCCTTCTAGTGTCACCAAAGGTTTCATATAGTCAGATAAATGAGGCAACGACCTAATGAACTGTATCATAGGGAAGGCAAAACACTACAGAAGTAAACCAGTCGGTATATTTACTGACATTTATCATGGTCACTACAAATTTATAACAGAAACTTCACAGACACACGTACAAAAATAGAGGCAGTTCCTCACATCTGTCTGTCTGTCTGTCCATCTCTCTGTTTTCGACATAGAACTTTGCACCGATGTGCACCAGTTCAAGTCGCCACACTCCCTTCATGTTGTAGCACACAAAGCAAGAGAAGAAAGTAAAAACAAATGCAAACTAGAGGCAGTAAACAGAGATACGAGACAAAAAGAAGAGTAATAACGAAGAACATTATAGTTTCAATAGAAATTATAAGTCATAGGGAGTGGATGCATCAGCACCAGCCATTGAGAACGATTTTGAGCCAGCCATATCATCGATTGTCTCCAGCCCTCATTGGTTTTTACCGTCCCAAGGACCCCAACCAGTCAATCAGGAAGTCGACACCTCCATATGTGGCCATCTTTTTTTGATTTACAGTTTGATTCCACACTGTATTTTTGGTACATGTATGGAATTTTCACCATGGATATCGGTAGCCCAAATTTTGCAGGCCGACCATAGATATCAGGTGTGCGCCGGCGTTGTTGTGGATTCCATTGACTGGTGAGGCCATGTTTTTGTTTGACCACCACGGGTTCTTTTCCAGCCTGACCCCATGTCAGCTAACATTGCCTGTTATCAAGGAAGGCGATGACTAGCTATACGTAACACAAGTCCTAACCACCTCAGTCGATGTAGCTTCATAGCCTCATCGATTGATTGCCCCTCCAGCTTAACTAGCACTCGACACCTAACCTGAATATTGCTCACCTTATTATACCACTTCACACGGGAGATAGAGCGCAGGCACCTATGATCAAAGACAGTTAGTCCTTTCATGTACTCCAATTTCAATAAACAGGTCTCACTCACAGCCATGAAGGAGGATGGATCGGACTGCTGAGTAGTACAACTGCCCTTTGGTCGATATCCAGCCGGATATCACGTCTACTAAGCCAGAGACGGCGTAAGATGGCATATGCGAAACAGTTCATCACAAGATATAAAAATTAATAGATTATAATGAGAGGGATATTTTATTAGTAAGTCCACTTCAGCATAAAAACACAATAAAAGGCCTATGTGACAAGGTGGCATCATCAGAAATAAACACACACACACGCACATAAATTAACTTATTTTTAAAATAAAAAAATCACAATTGAGTTAGTTCACTTACTTTTAGTCTGAAAAATCTGATAAATCCTGTGATTCATCACGGAGACCAACATTATTATTGTCAGAATTATCATTAGCACATTGCTCATTCTCTATGAGTGAAGAATTGCCATCACGCTTAACTGATGTCACTGAGGTAAGACCTTCAACAATTGTGAACAATATAGACAATTAGATAACAGTATTATTATTAAACATTAATCTCATTGATATGACCATTCGATTTTTATTAAAATTCAGAGAAATATTAGAAAGACTCTATGACAAAAGACAAACTTCATAGAATAATGGGAGCCTAGACAATACAGTAGAGTCATTCACGTACCTGTGAACCGACAGTGAACATGACAAAGTTTGTCTGAAACTTTGAAAGAATAAATAACAACTGAACTTCATAGCAAGAGATAAGCAACTATACAAACATAACTTCTAATGCTTGTTCGTTGCCTAGACAATAAAGTACAGAATGGAAGGCTTATGAAATGGCCTGCTGAAACAACAACTTGATCCAACTTGATATCCTACGTAGCATCCCAATATCCAAACAAAGGATGATGTCACCTTCCATGGTATAAATTTATTAGGAATCAAATAATTATTTCATCGATATTAGGCGCCAGTTCTCAGCTACCTTAGTATTCACTCCTCAAATGTCATTCTATCCAATAAGTGGTGCTTACTTCAGCAACAACTTAATATTTAATGTTAGTTATGCAAGGCTGATTTCCTCATTATCTACCGGCCTTTCACTGTACTTTCCCTGCGGCTTTTCATTTAAGACAACTATTCATATTCCTACCGCATACTTCACACTACTTACTAGAAAACCGACAGCATACACTTACTTGAGCGCAGCTGAAATGGCAAGACAAATGTACATTTCAGGAGATTCTAGAAATATTTTCTTAAGCACCTCTTAAAAATGTCTGTCAACATCTCTAGGTAGAATAGTTTCTACATAAAGTCATTGTGAACACAGGGAAATACATAAGCACTGATTAGATTATATTTCACACATTGCTAGTCTCTCAATATTAATTACTGTTGAGCAGACAGCAAGCAGTACTATCACATAATAAACACCAATACGAAAACTAGACCAGCAGAACAGAACAGTGTAGTGTACATCTGTCTTCATGAATGCCTTGAAAAATAATTCAAACGTCGATAAACGCAGGCAGGAGACAGACAACAAACGTTGTAAGTGGTGAAAGGCATATGTAGCAGCATACGATTGATGTCAAAACAATCCTCAGTATTATGCACAAAAACAGACAGACAACTGGACATACTAAAATATGCTGAGGCGACAGCCACACGAAAAATCATGCCTTTGTTGTATGTGCAGAACAATTTATTACTACACTTATGTAATGTACTACTGACTGACAGATCGACTGACTGGCTGACGTGAGCAGTTGGATACCATTCACAGATGATCGAAGTGACCTACACAATGAACGACCATTTCTCTTGTTTTCCGACAAGCTCATCACCGGTCTACTTTGTATTACTCATCTCAGAAAGCCGATTTAGTTCAAACCGCCTATAGTCTGCTCAGTTAGCCACTTGGATGAACAAGGGATACACATTCGATCAAATTAGCAATTTCAAATTTTCACAGTTCAACGAGGTGAAATTTCAACACACAGAGTTTCCCTCAAAAACCTGAACATTTAACGACTGGTGTGAGGAACTAATCGGTGTTTACATCACTTCGTCTGGCTAATAAGAACTACTAACTCATATGAGGGGGGGTATTCATCTATTCATGCCCCTATTCCCGCTTTCTTGATTGCCATTTACGATATTGTCATCTGGATAGAGTTTCAGTTTTCTAAAGGACACTGTGGTGAGATTTCACCTCGAAATGTATAAATTGTGAACACGATCAACCGGTAATCCTCAGCCGATTATGTATTCCAACCACTGGTATCAACTAATTTGTTTGTGCTGCTTACGCTTAAATTCCATGCTGGTAGTTTGTTTACTTTATTTGATCCTTCATCTTTTTCTAATTTTACACAAACTGAATTCACGAGTGGGTATGTATGTGTGATCAGATTCTTCGAGATGTATTGTGCAAATAATACACAGCCCTTTTCAGGTAAACTAAGCGAATTCTTTAAGGCAACTAACTGTTTCAAGCAATGAAACAATGGGGGACTTCACTTGAGATATAACAAAAATAAACATTAAGTACAAACAGCATTCCAGCACAGACGAAAAGCTTTGTATCCTGCAGCACAGTGCAAACCAACCAGTGACAACAAATACACACACACACACACACACGAACAGCCTAGAGGATTGGAAGACATAAATATTACATCAATATTTACCAATTTTAGTACGTCGACGAATTCCACACGGCACAGAATCCAAATCTGAGAAACTGTCTTTTGGTGAATCTCCATGCGATACAGTTGACTCATGCGGCATAAGCATAGCAGGTGCCCGGAACATATAACACAATGGATAGTAGATTAGATTGATACAAGAAAATGAATACAAATCTGCATAGCGTAGTACTTGAGATGAGAAAAATGTATGTCGTGAACCTAAAATCAATGGAATCAGAAACACAAAAGGTGAATTCGAGATAATACACCAACGGACAAAAAGTTGGAAACAGAAATAAACTTCGAAGCATTTTACATATATATATATATATATATATATATATATATATATATATATATATATTTGCTGTCCTTACTTCAAAGTACTCACACAAACAATAAATAATCACCTTTGTACTGACAAACAACTATTATGTTGTCTTTTTTTGTACTAACCAGTTGTTGAACAGTAAAAGTGCCACACTGCACCTAGCGGTTCATTGCTCACCAAGTGATATCCCACAGATGAGCCACAACATCACTTGACCGCAGCACACTGCATGTTCCATTATCTCACGAAACGTATTGTCTCCTCGAAGATTTTTTTCCTTCACCTTCCCCAGTGGAACAAAGGGCTCCAAGCTATTGGCTTGAAGTTTCTGTAGCAGTGGTGTTTATTTTCTACAAGATGGGGTTACTAGCCTCATGCCCAATCTTTCCTCTTTACCACCTTTATTTCTGACTTAGCGGAAGAGGGAGTGCGTCGGACGGGGTTCGAACCCTGGACCATGTGCATGGTCGGCGAGCGTCCTTACCGCTGTGCCACCGACGCACTGGGCCGCGGAGGCGGATACGGAATGTACCGTTGCAAATGTCTGAACCTGTGGTTCCTCTCGTACAATAAACAGGATTACCATAGCCACTGCGAGATTGTACTTCACTGGTTACTGTACTCATTAGTAGATCAAAACTAACCTGTCTCACAACGGCCTAAACCCAGCTCACGTTCCCTATTAGTGGGTGAACAATCCAACGCTTGGTGATTTCTGCTTCAAAATGATAGGAAGAGCCGATATCGAAGGATCAAAAAGCAACGCCGCTATGAACGCTGGGCGCATTGCTTATTGTACCTAGTAGATTTAAGTATCATCATTTTTATCTGTATGCGATAATAAACCCTACTGTTTTCGACTATTTTAATAATTGTCCAATTGTCTTCATGTGATCAAAAAGGTCTACAAGAGACTAACTTACACTCAATAAACGCTAAGATGATGCGTAATATTTTTGAATACAAGTCAAGCGAGCAAATCTTAGACAAATCACACAACTGTAAGCCTTTTCTTCTTCGACAACTTTGTTTCTTTGATACTCTCAATCCATTTACTTTTATTGCACCTAGTGATTTGCTTTACGGGTTCCAACAAACAAAAAAAAAAACAAAATCTACGTGACAAAATGATGATTTTGTGCTTAGAAGAAATGCACCCCCCACACACACAGACATCCCTAATACCACTATCAGTCTACAATCCTCTATAATCTGCTTAGGTATTTAAGAGACGAGTTTAGATTATTCTGTGAATATTCTGTAAATGCACAGATTAAGAATTGCGCACAGAAAAAATAACGAGGTCACAACTTGAATTACGGGGGAAGGGGTGGCGGGGGTTGTCAGTTAGAAATTTGGAAAAATCAGCCATTTACCTGATAAATCATCAAACCTAGTCATATATTTGAGTTATTTACAATATATGCAGAAAAGTGTTAAAAATAATTTGTGTTGGAAAGTATCTGCACACATGACACTACCTCTCTGTGTAAGTAACGCAAGCGAGCATAACTCTGCATTGGAGGTTGTTGTATGAAGGGACAACAATCATTCATATTCATTGGCGTTCTTGTGTAACTGATCTACAGACACACACAGATGGGAGTAACTCTATTTGACTTCAATGTCTTGTTCATTGATTTGCAGTAAAATACACCACATAATCCTTGCAGATGAAGACGCTGCACAGCATTTAGAGTTATCGACTACTGATCTCAACCACGTAGGCAGGTGAAGACTACTACTTGGTGAGCGTTCTCAAGGATGCTAGAAAAATCAAACAAAACTGTTCACGATGGGGTTCACGATGCATTCACACCTCATCGTATTCCTGTACATCCTGTACAACTTTACTTATATTCATTGAATTCTTCTTATCTTCATCACAGATGTATTTGTCCATTGCATTAATAGTCTATTTCCGTTTTCTCTGCTCTTGTACTCCATGCGAGTTGTGGCAATCTACATCACACCATACTCTAAGTCGATCCATCAGTCAGTCAGTCAGTCAGATACTTTCAACCAATATACTAAATAAAAATGTAACAGTCATAGTGTATAGCAGGTGGATTCCAGCTGGCAAACTTCACCTATGCCCTCAATGTGAATGTATACATTCACACACTTTAACAACAAAAAAGGAAGGGTGAATTCAATTACCTCCAAAACTAATATCACGCAGGAGAACAACTGGAAGCCAACCAACACTGAACGTCGTTTTCCGCTAATCAGGTGAATGTTTGTTTAGCTATGTCATCAGCTAACATCAGTCAACAACAACTCCACAACTAAATGAATAATACATTTGCCTACAAAAATTAGAATACACCCAAATTGAGGTGAATATATATCAACAACATACACACACCACTGAAGAGAGGGACACAGAGAGGAGGGAGACAAAGATCTGGAATAAAACAGACTAACAAACAAATATTTACATAGGCGAATAAAATATGATTCCTGTTTGTATTGATCTTCTCCTTTTTTGTGGTAGTTGTTGTTGTTGATATAATGAAATGACCTAATAAGATCACGATAAGATGAACAACAACCAACCAAACAAACAACCAAATGAATAACGCTGACATGTGTATAAAAAACCTCCTGAAATGTAGTGGTGAATCACTGTCAATTTGAAAAAAAGAAAGAAAACAAACACAACAACAACACCATCAACTCATAAAGCATCCATATCAGCTATATACAGAAGTAAACTACGTAAACTAACCATTTCTGAAAATGCTTCCCAATGCACCGTAGGATTCTTCCATTTTTTGAGCTACATCCTTCAGTGAGTTGAGTTAACGCATACACACATACATACACGAGATGAGATATCAAAAAGAAGCAAAAAGAAAAGAGACAATAAAGATTAAATGAAACATGAGATAGTGATAAAATCGATAATATAAGTTCAAGTGAATGTATTATATGCATTCACTTTACCCAACCAGCAGCCCCTACTTTGATACAAACAGTGATATATTACACCACCTTCCATACTGCAAAGAGCTAACAAGCTACACATGTTAGGAACGACACCACACCTGAATGTGTTGATTAGACAAACAAGTAGCAATACTTAGATTTGCTATAATTATAATCTAAGCAATCTACACTATATAATGGAGTTTTAAAAGTGAGATGTTGATGATGCTATCTAGTGGGGATGGGGGGTGGATACCTGTGATGTAATCAGTAACCCAGTATACTGGAATCTGCTACTGAGAAGTAGATGTGTTAAAATCATCAGCACAATCAGCACCGTACACACACTCGTTCCCACTACAGGTATTGATTACTGGTAATATGCCAGCCATGAGTTTACACGAGTTGTCTACATACATACTAAACTCATTTTTCACCCTCATGGCCATGAGCAATGCATTTAATTTTTTAACCAATAATTCTCTCTTTGAAATATAGAAAAGTGTCAATCTACTCCTTTTTTTATAAAATTTATCTATGATGGAAGCAACAACAGCAACTGAATATGTGGATCCATTTCACACCAAAAGTGAAGGCTCCTAACCTTGACACGGTAATGATTTCCTTTTGAATACCACAGTGACCTACTTTGCTATTCTGGATGGAATGATATCACCTTAAAAGGTTGAATAGATGGTTGTAATACTAACAGCAACCTAAATAGCCTAAACAACGATGCGGAACCGAAAGGTGAAATCGATATAATGCATGGTAGACGTGTGACGGCTATAATGAGTTTCCCTCAGACAACGGGTGATCCAGTTATTCTGTCATCTGCTACTGAGAAAAAGAAATTGAAAACATCACTCCAAGTCTGCTCTACAGATCTCGAATACCACTAATAACTTAGTCATTAACTTATAGTTGGCGTGATATCCAATTATCGATTAAAGGAAGTGTGTGTACAACGAACCATTTCACCTCATCCTTCCATTTAGCTATGAGACACGGTCATTGAAAGTGGAAGACATGAAAAAGCCAGCCATCATTGATCATAAGTATCTGCGTTCTGTCTCCCATGCTAAGTGACATAACATAATATTGGGGTTAGGCGTCAAGTGTTACGTAAGGAAGGTAAGCCAATCGATAAGGTTGTGAAACTACGTTGACTGAGGTGGTTAGGACATGTATTACGCATGCCCGACCATCCCCTTTCACAATGAGCAATCTTCGGTGATATAACATCAGGCTGGAAAAGTTACTGGTGATCAAAAAAAACCTAGCAACAATCTATGTAATCTTTGACAGTTAGTTTGAGCCACGTGGGAAGGTGTGAACTTCTTGGTTAAACTCCTCAGAACCAATGACTGGAGAGAGATATGGTGATATGGCTCGAAATCGTTTCCAATGACACACATGCATTCACTTTACGTGTTCTGCCATATACATTAAAAATCCGTTATTTTTCCATGTTACTATTCCTATTCTCCTTCACATTTTTGCGTCTTATCGTTGTTCCGAATTTCTTCTTCCCCACTCGTTTGTCTCTCTTTTTGTCCTACATGGTGTGTGAAAAGTTGGATTGCTGCACTTCTCTGCAAAATTCTACATTCAGACCAGTCAGTCATGAATCATCAATTTACTTTCAATACATTGAAACACTTCGAACGCTACAGTCTAGTCACAATCTTGGTGGCATGGATAGTGTAAGTGGGGGGTTAAAATGATTGGCACAAGGGACACACACTTAATGGCCTACTGTTGAAAGTGATCACAACCAAGACTATATTGTACTACAAATGAATCTTCTTTATTCACACCTCGAATAAGAAGCAAACTTAAACTTCTCTTTGCGCGTCGGTGGTGCAGTGGAATAATGCTAACAACCACGCACGCATGTGGTTCGGAGTTCGATCACCGGCCAACGCACTCCTAAACATCACTTAGCTGACAGTAAGTCCAGTGCAGATAGAAGGTTGGCTGTGTGTAAGGCGGGGAATCCCGCCTCGTAAAAATAAAAACCAATGCTACTGAAACTTCAAAGGTCCAGCCTGAGGCTGCTCCAAGTTCCTCTCGGACGGTAAAGGAACCATATAAAAATAAAAAAGACCGGTCCTTAAGTTCATTACACACACCTGCTAAATATAATAAAGCTGAATAACTCCTACAGTCAACTAACAACCAACAAAAGATCACAAGAATATGCACAGGAATGAAACTGATAATTCTGTGTGAAATTGAGTGTAAACAGACGAATTTCAATGAATGACTGGAATTTTAAGTGTTACCCTTTTTTTCAGAAATACTTTATGTGATGAGTACATTTTGGATCATGAAGTCACAATGTCCCTTCTAAGAAATAAACAACAACATCACCCAACACCCAGAACGAATTGATCTCACTTAAAAAAACAACAGAGACGATTAATATTCAATAGGCTACAAGTGATCTGAAAAAGGAAAGTCAGTGTGTTTAAGACACCATGTTTACACACACACACACACACACACACGCATATACACAACCCTCAAATATTTCAAAAACAATGATATAATCACACTCACTGAAGTACATCAGGTACTGGATGAAACTGAATGCTGCTGCTATCATTATTATTATCACTATTAATAGTAGTCTTCTCAAATTACAGTGTAGCTTCTTCAAACACCACCCACGATAAAATGTTTATCATAATTTGGCAATTAAATCATTTTTATTTTATTTTACTTAACTTTACTTTTTTCACTTACCCGAATCTTCCTCTGCAAATTACCAACATCTGGTCTTATATTGGACGATATATTCAGGTCACTGTTGTTATGTGATGCATAAAAGGGAAGCGTGTAGGAGAGAGGAGAATGAACAAGAAAAGCAACAACAATTTTAAACTCATTGAAATATGATGTGTTGATGTAGATAGAATAAGGTGAATGCATTTATAAATAACTATCTATCTATGTGTTCATAATCAACAAAAGTTATAAGGACAAACAGGAAAACTACAGGTCATTATCGTTTGATGTTCAGTGTTGTTAGTTACGATCCCCACTAATGTATATAGCTACATGCACAAAGACAGAGACTGAAGCCAATAAACATACGCACAAGCACGCACACATACACATAGTGGACAGGTAAGCTTATTATTATAATTAAGGACAACAGGATCTTTGACCATTGAGAAGTGAATAGGGATCACAATCATTAATATTGCTACTGATGTTGTAATTGTTCTTGTTGTTTTGTTGTTGCTGTTTTTTGTTTAAAGGAGAAATCGTGAATGACTTCTTGTTAATCAAGAAAATTGTGAAGAAACAAACGTAGTAGTAGTAGTAGTAGTAGTAGTAGAGTAGAACACTTCATTTGTACTTTTACTAATGTTAGTAGTGAGCAGATAGTTAGGGCGGGAGGGGGGATTAGGATAAACAATCAATGATAAGGAAGGAATAAAAGCAGATATAATTTGGTGGCTGATGACGTGCAATGGAGTCACAAATCTTTTTTTGCAACCTTTCATCCAACAGCTGTATGACAATGCCATATATATACACATATGTCAAGGGATCCACAACGGTAAACTTAACGAAGCCTTTGGAGTGAAGGGAAGGGGGAAGAAAAGGCTGCTGTCTACTATCACTGATGATATTGCTGATATTCTGGTAGATTGTATCGTGTAACACGTCATCGGAAGCATCGAGAAGATAGGAATATGTTGTTAGATCGATATGAAGATTCTAGAAGATCTTAACTTTACGTGTGATTTGTGTCTAATGTGTGTCATAGAGATTCGAAGACTCACAGGAGAAAACCAACAAGCTGATAGAAGAAGTAGCAAAGACACGACTTCAAGTGAACATTTTAAGAAGACAGAGGTGATGAAGATACCTCCCCCCCCACCGACCAAGTTTAACAAGCATAAATCACTAACAACGGGAGTAACTTGAAGGAGGTCACAACACCTTTTATTTACTTATCTAGGCAGAATCGTTTCTACTACAGGCGCAACGGATGAGGATGTCAAAACTAGGATCAGAAAGGCAAAAACAAAAAACTTTATCACTCTGAAGTCAGCGTAAAGAACAAGATCCGGATTTGATTCAGTCAGTGCTTCTCTATATGGGTCAGAGACTTAGCTAGTCACAAGACAATCACTCCCAACAGGCTACTGCCGACCTTTATCAACAGCTGCTTACTTCGCTCAATACTAAAGATCAAATGGCCAGAAAAGATTAGTAACAAGAAAAAATTTGAGGACGAACCAACCCAAAACCGATTGATCAACAAATGGTCTTAAGAAAATGGCGATGGATCGGACACACGCTGACATCTCATGCCAGGCCATCGATTGAGTAGAACCTGGATAGGAAACGAAGAGTTGCGTGTTAGTCTTAGGTTAACACGGAGGAGATCGTCAGAGGAGGAGTTGAAAGTCTAGGATTAGTTGTGAGGCCAGCTAAAGAAGACTTTAGAGAAGAGGATTACATGGATGTATCCTGGTGGAGCCTTTTGTTCCATTTGCAACCGATGAGAATAATAAACAGGACTACAACAGAAGGCTGTCTTGGCCGAAACAGTCTAGTAGACAACGATTAGACGCCTAAAACGACGGGCACTGGGTTCGAGTTTCAGTGATGAGAACAATACCACCCGCTGAAGAATACAGGTACACATCCATCAGCGTAGATTGTATTCCACTGCTAGTCTTCGTGCACCGAATCGCCCCAGGTTGGTCCTTAGATATCGTAGAAATATCCGTACGAGAAGCCGAAATGTCAACAAAGGCCAGACGTTTCCGTTCAATCAATTAACGGGAAAATCAAAAAATTAGCTTGAAAACAATTAATAAAATTTTGTTCAGAAATGTTTATCAATGATTTTTTGATTAGTGGCGATCGAATATATATATACTCAGATTTTGGGCATTAATTTCAACATAGATTTTGTTATGAATCGATTTAGTTGAAAAAAATAAGGAGCAATGGACGCGGCTGATCCGTTCTAGTCAAGGAGTATTCAGCAGTTTGCACCTACAGCAGCACCACTACTAAGTGAAAACGAACAGGAGAACTACAGGTCATTATTGATTTTTACGAGTTGATCACGGATTGATATCCGTTAGAAAACCATTGAAAACCAGCACTGGGGTACTGAATAGCTGTTTCATCCTAGTTTGGGATTCATACGCAGCAAGCACTCATCGCCAGCGTTCGAACCCAGGACCTTCCGGTTACAAGACAAGCTGTCTCGTATACCATTCAGCCACTGGGACCCGATTCAATGGCCAGCCAGCCCATGAATTCTAACTTCTACCAATTCGTTATTTAGCGCGACTCCAACCATTGTCGTTGGTGGAACATCCATCAACACACGTGACATCTAACTGGACCTCACTGGTCACGACTTCTCACTAGAACTCCAGGAAACTCCATCCTGTTTGATGTTCAGTGTTGTTAGTTACGATCCCCACTATTATATATCTATCTATGTGCACAAACACAGAGACTGAAGCCAATAAACACACGCACACTCACACGTACATAGTGGACAGGTAAGCATAGCTTAGTCTCTAGTTTAGATAAAGGAGCTGAATACTTTCGCTGTGCCTTCCTTGATTACACATCTGCATTTGACTCTGTTCCCAGGTCTCTCTTGTTAAGTAAGCTTGCTGCAACACAGGCTGAGAGCTGGGCAAACAAGTGGCTACATTCCTATTTTTCTGATAGGAAGCAGTAAACCGTCTACAATGGAAAGCCCTACACTACCTCACTTACTTTAGCTGGTGTTCCTCAAGGTGCTGTTCTTTCTCCCTTTCTGTTTTCTTTTTTCTTACATGACTTGCCTCATTCTGATGTAGCCACTTTTGTTAAGTATGCCGATGACCTCTCTGTTTCTATGCCTGTCAACTCTCAGTCACATTGTTCCAAATTAAATAACTTTCTGTCGGAAATTAGTCAGTGGTCCTCTTCAAACGGTCTTAAGCTAAATCCGTCTAAATGTCAGGTAGTCAATTTCACTTTCAGATGCAAACGTGACCTACAACAACTTGTTAGCTCACATGGCCCCACTATCATCGACGGCATAGAGGTTGAAATTACATCTAATGTCAAGTACCTTGGGTTGAGTTTTCCACCGATCTTTCCTGGTCTTCCCACATCTTGCTAGTTACTAGAAAGATGTTTCGCTTAACGTTCTACATTAGGAAATTTAGGCAGTCTGGCATAAAGCAGTCTTTGCTTTCTCAGTTAGTAAATTCTTGTATTCTACCCATCCCTGTTTACTGCTCCCCGTTAATCTTTCCTGGACTATTTAAGGAAGACTTTGCTTTGATGATAAGGGCACTAAAAGCCGTCAGTAGGGCAAATGGGATATCGTTAAACCAGCTGGTTAACACTATTGTGAATAGACATATAATGTCATGTAACAAACTAGCGAATACAATATTGTCAGACCCCGAACATTCTCTCTATACGCAGCTCTCTCCTTGCATTTCATCTGGTAGAACTAGAAGCTATAACTATAGGAGGCTATATGCTAGGACTACCAAGTACAAAAACTCCACAGAACCTTATCTGGCACAGCTGTTATGTGATGAGAAATCCGTTAGGTATGACACGATCAACTTACTGTGGCACTCTAACAAATAGTCCCATTAGTTTTTGTTTTCCTTTCCTCGTTACTATTACACTATTGTTCTCATCTTCTATTACACACCAATTTTATATTTCATTTCCTGTGGTGCATTGTTTAAAATGTAAACGCAACGCTGTTTCTTTTTATTTATTTTCTTTTTTTGGGTGTTGCTTTTTGATTTTAAAATCTTATAAAATTGATGAGGTAATTAGATGCAATACATTGTAATGCACGCTGAAAATTCCCTACATGTACCACAAATACTGTTTGGAATAAAGCTGTTATTATCATTATTATTATTATTATTAGGGACAACAGTATCTTTGCACACTGAGAAGTGAATAGCGATCACAATCATTAATAGTGTTATTGATGTTGTAATTGTTCTTGTTGTTTTGTTGTTGTTTTTTGTTTAAAAGGAAATTACCTTTTTGAATAACTTTTTTTTAATCAAGAAAATAGTGTACAAACAAACGTTGTAGTAGAAAAATTCATTTGTACTTTTACTAATGTTAGTGAGCAGATAGTTAGGGCGGGAGGGGGAATAGGATAAACAATCAATGATAAAGAAGGAATAAAAGCAGATATAATTTGGTGGATGTTGACATGCAGTGGAATCACAAATCTTTTCATCAATCTTTCATCCAACAGCTGTATGACAATGCCATATATATACACATATGTCAAGGGATCCACAACGGAAAACTTAACGAAGCCTTTGGAGTGAGGTTAATGGGGAAAGAAAAGGCTGTCTCCTATCACTGATGATATTGCTGATATTCTGGTAGATTGTATCGTGTAACATGTCATCGGAAGCGTCGAGAAGATAGGACTATGTTGGATAGACATGAAGATTGTAGAAGATCTAGACTTTATGCGTGATTTGTGTCTAATGTCATAGAGAGAAAACCAACAAGCTGCTAGAAGAAGTAGCAAAGACAGGACTTCAAGTGAACATTTTAAGAAGACAGAGGTGATGGAAATACCCCCCACCTCGACCAAGACTAACAAACATAAATCACTATCAACGGGAGTAACTTGAAGGAGGTCAAAACGCCTTTAACTTACTTATCTAGGCAGAATCGTTTCTACTACAGGCGCAACGGATGAGGATGTCAAAACTAGAATCAGAAAGGCGAACACAGAACTTCATCACTCTGAAGTCAGCGTAAAGAACAAGA